GGCTCGGAGACTGCACTCCCCGGGCGGTTTCTCCGGAGGGAGTCCCGCTGGGGTCTCCGCGGTCCAGGCCAGATGCGACCTTCCGGGCTGGACTCCTCCGCAGCGGGGGCAGCACAGCCCAGAGAGGGTTCCCGTCATTCGCACGGAGTTTGCTTTTCCAGCGCAGCTACCAAGCGCAAGTTCATGTTATTTTTGCCAAACGTTGCTCTTACTTTTTAGAATGTTCTCAAATAGATAAATTGAAACACACACACACACACGGATGATTCTCCCTTTCAGAAAACATATACAGATACCCAAATCCCAGTGTTCCCGGGTTCTCCTAACTTTTTAATCTAGATGAGTAATAACCTGTTTATCAGGGCTGTAGAAATAACAAAGGGGAACTCTTGGGTTTGCTCTTGAAAAGTAGATTAGATTGCGTTCCGTTCTGATTTTATTTAGGTTCTTATTTCAAATTTCAAGCACATATTAATAAAGATGATCACTAAGAAATTGAAGTATGACCTAAAAAAATTAGTTTGGTCTGAAGCTCAATGCTCCAATTTCAATGCGGTGCTGCTTGATGAACGTTTTAGAATCCTTTCCAAGTAGGTATATTCCCTCCTGCTGTAACAAAACTCTATTCATCTCTGCACAGCATGCTCCAGCATCTGTAAATCTGGTATCCAACACTGGGCAGAGAATGATCCCTTTCCTGATGTGTGTCGACCAACGGGCCTCGCTGCGCCAACCAGCCCAGCAGCAAGGGCGCCCTGGGGGGTATTCCAGAACGGCGCCCACCGGCCCACCCCGCAGGATGGCCTGAGCTGCCGCCACCCCGTTGCGGGCAGAGGAGACCGTCCCCTGCGTTTCCTGTCCCCCAATTGCTTCAGTAACACAGTGTCGGTCTCTGAAACTGCACAGAGTCAGAGGATTTAGCTTCTGACGCCTCATTCTCAGGGGTCATCTCTGGGTCAGGAGTTTTCGCCGCGAGCTGATTTCCCACCCTTTCTTCCCGGACAACCAGAAGGTGTTTATTTTGGTTTTTCCTCTGCTTGCTAGTCAGATCAGGAGCCCGGGCCCTTTCCCGGCTTCTTGGAGGAACAAAGTTCCAGCTCAAGGTTTTCCAGAGCTCCTGCGGCCAGAGGGCACTAACGGAGCCGCTGACGTCAGTCCTTCGCCGCCCGAAATCAGGCGGCGGGATCCTACTTAAGGCAGGAGAGAGCGCCTAGGCCGTGACTTAGGGCTGGCGACGATTAAACCAGGTAACGAGACACCAGCCAGATGTGTTTTCATTGCCTTGTAAGATAAATGCAATGTTAAGTGCTTGACAACTTCCCAGAAGCAATCAGCAAAAGTTTACGAGTGCATAAACCTCAAAGACCATTCCCCGACGGTTGTTACAAGGCCCAGAGTTAGAGCTTCTATAAATTCTCCCGCCGTTTCCCAAAGCTAAGTTTCCAGTTAACTATTAAGCAGCCACCTCCTCCCCTGAGACCGGGGGGGATTTTCTTGAACCGCCAAAGACAAGGGTTTTTGGCTCCTACTGAGTGAAATAAAGTTGCGCAAAAGTTTGTTCCAGAAGTTTGGATGGTCAGGAAGAGGGGGGTGGTGGAAGGAGGGAGTGGAGGTGGTCTTGGGGAAGGGCCACGAGGTGCTCTCCGGTGCTAAGTTATCTGAGAGCGCGAAGGACCGGGGTCTGGGGGGGTCCCAGGTTTAGCCGGGCAGGCGGCGCCTTCGCTGCCTTCGGTGGCCGCTCCTGCTCGGCCATTCGTGCCCTGCAGGGCACAGCCCGGTGTGGCGCCCAGAGCTAAGTTGGAGCTTCCACCCGACCCGGGCTTGGTGGATCGTTCGCCCTTCCAGTGCCCACTGAGGGGCCGGCAGGAAGCCAGGTGTCCTGCGGAAGCGCCAGCCCTTAGAAAGGCAGGTTGGCTGGAGAACCGAGTCAGACATCCGGGATGTGTCGCCACTCCGCCCGGAGCCACGACGGTGCCATCCTCGGTCCTCCGGCAAGCGGCCAGAGGGCGTTGGTAAGTTAGTATCAGGCACACAAGACTCACCTATGCTTACAGAGAACCTCTGTTTATGATCCCAGTGAAAACAAAGCTGCTAACTGAAAAACAGTAACAGGAGCGTGACTCTAGCTCCCTAAAGGGAGAGGCTAACAGCTGCGAGCGCCCGGGGAGGACAGGTGGGAGGGAGGTGGTGAGCTTGGGGCCGCCCTGCACGTCAATGTGCTTTTGGGTCCCCAGCGAGACACGTGAGCCAGCTCAAGCCTTCCAGAACCACCGATCTGGGTACCCGGCTGGAAAGCCTCCCACAGCCCGCTCTTTCTCAATCTTTGGGTTCCAGTAAATCCGAAGGCGCGAAGGTAACCGACGACTGCGTAGTATTTCCGCCCCCGTGAGACTGAATCTCAGGCAGTTATTTTGGAAAGATACTGCTGGGCCCCTTTTTATCCTTTCCAGGTGACAATGCAGACGCTTCTGTGTCGTCCTCACCCCTCCTGATAAAATAAGGCGCCCAACTGTTCGGATATTACCATTCGAAAACAGGTTCTGTGGCGAACCTCATTTGTGAATCTATTACAGAGATTAATAGATTATTTCTCCTTTTTCAACTAATTCTCAGTGGGGAAATTTAACCATATGGTAAGGAGAGAATTAGAATTTCATCACATTAGAGCAAAATGTAATGAAAAGAGTCCAACACCTGGGGCCAACTCTGAAAGCCACAATTAAAAGGTTTTTAATGAAACCAGAGAAACCAAAAATTTCATAGGCTTCAGTAATTCTGCCACATAAGAAAGATTTATTGGAGGCGTTGGGAAATATTGTTTTTACTTATGTCATGAGGATGAAAACCAGCCGCTAAATACCATGTGCTCCCAGACATTGAACTCAGCAGCGAGAGGACCGCGTGTACCCTTTCCCCATCCGGAGAGGAGCGTTTGTTTCACGGTTCTCCCCTTACCAGCCCTCCAAGAACAGCCAGGCAGATCCAGATGTCCCTGAATGGCTTCCTAGCTGTCGGTTACGTTTCCGGGTAAATAAATATGCACACATGCCCCACTTGGTGTGTCAGAGGAGTTGACTCCCGGTGAAGTTGCCTATTCTGAAACAACTGGATTTTAATCTTGAGGAAAGTTTGAGAAATCACTTTCTTCCTGTTTAGGAAATCATGTGCCTCACAATCGCCATCTCTGTAGCAGCTACTTAGACACAGCTGCAAAAGCACCCCTTCCTTTCTTTATTTTTTAATCTAATGGGCTGCATAATCAACTTGTTCTTCATTTTCCTTTTTTTTTTTTTCCATCGGGGTCGGAAATGGGCAGTGGGGGGAAGGAGGAGTGGAAATAAGGCAGTGTGCTCAAGGGGGACGATCACTTTGCTCTCTTACTAGCTGAGAATCTTAGGTGAATTTGGGGCAAGCCAACGGGGACACCACTTCCCCCCGAAAGCCCCATCTCCTAATTCAGACCACAGTTGTCCTACGAATAGGGGTGGAGTATAATTCTCGCCCGGAAGAATAATTTAGCACAAGATGAGACAGCAGTGGCGAGGGAAGGGCAGTGGGTGTGGGGTGTGGTGGATGGGGGCGTCTGCTTTCCACGGGACTCCCAGGCTTCGCCGCCGATCTACAATTTGCTGAAGGAGCAAAGAACATCCTCGGCTCTAAGTAGGGCTTTTAGTGTGCTCATTGATGAGTGAAAGTCGCCACACATGTCAAGCTAAAGGCAGTTGTTGGGTTACTAACAGGACCCAGCGCCTTGCAAACATATGCGCTAAGCTGTGTATACAGATGGCAGGCAGAATAATGGAGCAGGCGCCTTTTATAAAGCTCTAGCTGCTGCCTGTCTTCAGACCTGGGAAATGAAACTATTCAGACTCGCGGCCAGATAGCGCCTGCGATTGTTTGTTACCGTTTTAATCCTATTAATTAAAACGTTAACCTGATTGGGTAGAAAGCGCTGTCCCAACAGGCGAGTCTTCTTCATAATAACCTACTCAGAGATAATGATGTAAAAGACTCCCCCGTCTGTGGCGGCGGCTGGTTGATGGGTCCGGAAATCTCTTGAAGGTGAATCCAAGCAAGATAAACGGTGCGGAGAGGAGGCGCGGGGCTGGGCTCAGAGCGGCGGCGGCAGCGGCGGCGGCTGCACTCCCTGCGCGCCCACCCTCCCACCATGCGGGGCCGCGGCCCATGGTGAGCCCCAGCAGCCAGCACCATCGGCTGGAGACGAAGAAGAAGAAGAAGAGGAGGCGGCGAGCGCGGGGGAAGGCGAAAAAGAAAAAGAAGGGGAGAGGGCTGCCAGCAGCACCGGGACCGACGCGCGCACCAGCCCCGGAGCCCGGCTCGGGCGCGTCTGCGGCGCCGCCTGACTCCC